AGCTAATTATATACCTTGCGAAGGCTGCAGAGGGAGTCGAAAAATGAATTTCATTTGATGATCAATGTTAAAGCTCAATTCTGCAACAGACCGCCTTTGGGATTCTCGTTTGTCAAAAATATTTGTGGTTTTTCAAGTCTTGTGCTAATGTCATAGATATCGTTTTCGACAGAGGAGATCTTTATGCTTACGTATTAGTTGGGCTGGAAAGTTCGTAGGCTTTAATATTTTTTTTTGTTTAATTAAATTTGATTTTATTATTCAATATAGTGCTCTTGGGGTACAACGATCATAGCGGTCATACAATTTCTCGATACCATTTTTATGGTACGATTTCTCTTCAATTTCCACACAGGCCCTAGTTTTCAACTGGGTCTGAGAACATAAAAAAGTCGCTGGGGGCAGATCTGCGGAGTTCGGTGGATGCGAAAGCAATTCGAAGGTTAATTCATGCAATTTCGTCATAGTTTCCGTTGATTCGTGACACGGTGCAATGTCTTGATGAAACAGTACTTATTTGTTTTTCAGATTGGGCTGTTTTTTTGTGATTTTGTCCTTGAAATGTTCCAATGACGCTATGTAATAGCCGCTGTTTTCCGTTCTCAAGATAATCGATGAAAATTATACTTATACTTATAATCCCATCCCATAATACTGATGCAACCGACTGTTGCATCTTTGCACGCTTTGGAGTCGGTTCACCATGTGAAGTCCACTCAAATGACGATCGTTTTGATTCTGGTGTGAAATGATGGAGCCATGTTTCATTCATTGTCACAGTAGGACTCATGAGTTCGCGTATCATTAATTTATTGTTGTTTTCGGTCGTCTATTGTGAGCTCGTGCATTACTCATTTCGAAAAGAGCTTTCGCATACCCAAATATTCATTCACGATATGTCCAACAGGTTCCTTTGATCTCACACTGCGGTCATTCATAATTATTTTGTCGACTTTTTTTATGTTTTCATCGGTAACAGCCTCTTTGGGGTGTCCACTGCGTGCATCGACCTCATTGCACATTGTACCTCGCTGATACTAAGTAAACCACTCCTCAATGGTTGATTTTCCTGGTACGAAGTCTGAATAATTTTTATCAAGACACGACTTGGCTTAACTAACAAAAGTTGCTCCACTCAAAATGTTCTAACCCACAAACTAATAGCCCAACAGTTAGGGTCAACTAAAATCATATGGATTTAATACTTGTAGCGCCATCTGTGTGTTAGCCTACAAACTTTTTAGCCCCATTTTGTAGTACCAGAGTCACAAGAATAGACATAATACTTACACATTCTTCCCTTCAGCATATCCGTGAACGATTTTGTAATAATACTAATAATTGAGAAGTCCTATACTTTCTTTCTTGAAAAAAAAATATTTCGAAAACAGCACTCTTCACCACATATTCAAATGGAAGTGGATATTCTGTGATTTTTTTTCTACAGGTCTATTTCACAAAGCGGTAGCAATGAGTGGTTCGCCTTTAATGATGCCGATCCCCGACAACATGTTAGATCTTGCTAAAAAACAAGCGAGACTTCTGAACTGTCCAGATGATACTATACCTAATATGATAACATGTTTAAAAAATGTGCCATATGAAACACTTGGAAATTCCCTTTCAGGATTTAGGGTACGTATAGACCAAACAGAATGGTATTTGGGTAATTGAAAGTACTTCGTTGGTAACTTAGTTATTACCTACCTTGAATTCGTAATCACTATATATTATATAAGTCTCCCCGCCGCGTCTGTTTGTCTGTCTGAATGCAATGGTCTCAAAATCTACTGAACGGAATTTCATACGGTTCTCATCGATCGCACACTGGGGCCAAATATGTCAATTGTTGGCAGGAACTCCAAAAAGGAAAACAAGCAATCGGAGTCAAATAACACTCGATTTTAAAGTTGAATAGAGTCTGCATGCGAGACAATACGTATTGGAGCCCATATCTAGCAGGCGTTCTGTTCAACTTCGTTTGATGTTAGCTATTTTTGCAGCTGTGTAAATTGCCAAACCATTGCATCGTAAATTTATGTTGTTAGAACTCTGTGTTCATTATTGAAAATTTGATTTCGACATGGAGTGTTTATACACAGGTTAGTCTATTGACTTATGATAATAATTTGTTTGATATTGTAACGAATTAAAGAATTCACTGTCTTAAACAAATTTATTTTTAACAATACTTCACAACTAATTTATGTATAACACTTATCAACTAACGCTTAATTCATCTTTACAGTTCGAATTCTAGGTACAGACTGCCTGGCAGTGCTGCCGCATGGTCAATTCAAAAAGTACCGAAATTTACAAGAAAATAGTACCCAAAATGTACTGCGCAAGACTAGGCATGGCACATGCGCATAAGTCATTTCAGACCAAATGCCAGTAATGCCAAACGTGTAATAATGTTATCCATTTAAATTCGGAAAATATATGGAGTAAAAAATTTGCTGGAAACTAAGAAATGTTCCTTAAGAGANTCCCATTTTCACCCAAATGACGTGATTTTGAAGATATGAGTAAAGAACGTTCTGCCCTCTCAAAAATTTTGGAAGAGTCCAGAACATTCGAGAATATTCGAAAGTATTCCCCAACATTCCAGAACATTCCTGAATATAATGGAATATTCTGAAATATTCTGGAATATTCAGGAAAATTCCGGAATATATCGGATCATTGTGGAACAATCAAAGGTGTTATATGGTACCGGAGCTCTCTATCCCCCCATCTATGAAGTTGGTTTCCGTTTCAACCTTGAAGGGGTGCTTTTGAAGAGATGAGGCCTGAAAGTTCTAACCTCTAGAACGATCTAAAACAGTCCTGAATATTTAAAAGTATTTGTGAAAATTCCTAAATATTGTAGATCTTCTGCTGGAAAAATCCTCACTGGTTTACTTTGTAGTACATATTCCAGAGGTAGTAAAAACGTATGTGACTTTCTGGAACTTCAACTAGCATTTCCTAATATGACTGATAACTAGTCCGTGCAAAGATTATTGTTAAATCATCTGAAAATGGAACTTTCAACGGGTGATGATCAACTGTATTGCCAAACATGCACCGAACTAACTGACTATTATAAGAAAACAAGTATAGCTGAGGCACCAATCAATCTGATAATAACACTGATGATCTTCAAACATGACTCAACCTCTGACGTAAGCACCAAACTCTTACGAAGGTTCGAAATAGATGAACACTTCAATCTAGCAGACCACTATCATGATCTTCATGCAGTCATTGTTCACTGTCGTTCTGGCGTTGAATCTGGTCATTATTACGCATTGGGTTTGAAGACAGTTATTTTACTTAAAATTTTGGCGATATCTTGAATGTATTGAAGCCTCTGAAGACACCCTACATTCTATTCTATGGAAGAGGGGACATTGGTAGATCAAGATATTCAGATGATGTGGTGCTGCAGGTTTTTCCGGGTTTTCCTGCAGCTGAAAAAGCAAATGTGCCACTGGAATCAATCAGTCGCCCAAGACCGCCAATAAATTTTGTTGTTGTTTCATAATTTCTTAATTTGTATTACTTTGAGCAAATTGTATTTTCCATAAATATTCTGGAATATTCGGGAATATTCCAGAATATTCCAGTCCTGGCATAACACAAACATTACATTGAAAGGAGTCAGTTATATGGTGTGAAAGCTCTATATTTCCCACCTATAAGGAAGGTTACCGTTATCTGGAAGGCGTGCTTCTGAAGATATAGAAACTGGAAGTTTCGCCCTCTTGAGTTTTTGAACAGTCTAGAAAGTTCAAAAGTGGTCAAGAACATGTCACAACCTTCCAACATACTGAAACATTATGAGAAGTCCTAGAATAGTCTGGAACGTTTGGAAAAATATTGGAACATCCCAGATGATGGTAAAATGATGAGTGTATTATAGAGTGTATTAATTCTCTATCCCAAACCGTTAAAGAAGTTCTTGTTCCACCCAAAAGGCGTGATTTGGAGATATTGATGTTGGAATTGACTCCTTCTAGAGACATCTAGAAAAGTCCAGAATATCTGAGAATATGGTGAAATATTCTACAAAATTTCAGATTTCGAAACAATGTTGTGTTGTATAACTATCGTTTTACTCAAAAGGCGTTTTATTGGAGAAATAACGCCCTCTGAAGGGTTTAAGAACAGACCAGAACGTCTGAGAGTACCTAAAAATATCCACAACTTTTCAAAATATGCCGGAACATTCTGGAATGTCATCGTTCAAGAAAACCTTGTACGGTACGATTGCGCACGGCTGGTGTAAACCTCGAAGTAGGAATGGGTCAATTGAGGCTGGGCCTATGGCGAGAAGCGCTTTCTGCGCAACTTCTGCTGCAGACAACCAGTGATGCAATTGAACCCAGGTTTGTGTTTAATAAACCCTACAAAATACAAATGAAACAGAACACAGAGTCAGATGCTACAAATGCAATACGTATATATACAGACGGCTCAAAAAAGAAAGAAGGCGCAGTATTTGCAGTGTACTCCAAATCACTAAGCCTAAGGATTATCTTTTAATATGTTTACTATCGATGTATGGCTAATATTGAATGTAGTGGTTGCTTGTCTACTCGATGTATGTGGGTTTTCCTCGAACTCAAGCATCACATCAAATTTGAGTTCATCAGTCATTGCATTGGCAGCTGCTTTTTTTATCTGTCTCACATGACCAATCTCGCGAAACTGTTCCTCTATCTTGCTTAATGTTCCTTGAGATATGGACGGTAAATTAGTAAATTTCTCATGAAATAGGCGAGTCACTTCCTATTGTGTTCGGGTTTTATCTCCGTAACCAATCATTTGTAAAACTGTTATTTTATGCATTTCCGTTAATCTAACTATTTTTTAAACTTGAAGTTAACGAACTTTCAACTTAAATTGAAATACTGACAAGTTGACAAGACGTGTCAAACTAACGTTGCCTTCTAAAAAGAACATTGATATGGTTTTTGTTTACTTTCTCATTATCGATACCTCAACATGAAATAAGTTTTGAGTATTTCACAATGAGTTTTGACTGTATTTTATTTAATTTCGGTAACCACATGATTATAAGTTATTTTATCTTAATTGTTTCAATAAACTCCAAAACAATAACATATTTGAATAGAGAATAAAGAGACCTTTCGGACGATATATCACAAACCTATACTTCCCATTTGAAAATTTTGGGATTGTACCTGTCATTCGACGGGGGTTGAAGTTAGGGGTAGCATTTTTCCATTGAAATATGTCAAATCATAATTTGAATTTGACATGTTTTGGGATTTTGTTAAAATATGTACCGTAACCGAAACAGATAATATACTTCATTTGACTTTTACACATTGTACATTTCCCAATATGTTGTGAGTAATAACCATTGTATATAGCTTTCATATCTATTGGAATATATTATTGTAGTAATCATAAGATTTGTAGCTATTTTTCTATTTCTCGTATTTATCGATAACCCAGAAATTTTCACAATAAGAGCTCAGCAAGTTTTTTTGAAATCTTATTATTCACCTGAATACATCTGAAAATGTTTGTGACCGATTTATCCATTGTACATGTTGCTTCAGGTGTAAGCAAATATATGAGAGAGAATATATGAATTTGAATGTCATACCGAAACAGTTCTATTGAAAAATCCATATCAGTTTAATGACAAAGAATAATGAATCATTGCTACGGTTAGGACTATATAATTAACAAAACTTCAAAAACCAACAACTTTATTAAATTTGTTATTTTCACATTTTACTAAACTGCAAAACGTGTTTTAAGTAATGCCTGAAAAAGCTATTATATATAAATATAAATAACCAAATACAGAGAATATTTATTCCAGGTGTTGTTCATCACGACGATTTGATATATCTCTTTTATATTCAGAAGTTATTTCCATTATTTGGAAAAGACTCTCCTACTGAGGTGGAGATGGTTGAAAAGTTGACTAAATTATATGCGAACTTCGCTAAAACAGGGTAAGGTTTTGAGTTACTCAACTTATACTATCGAAGCTTAGGGAATTGTGCTTATATATTTTTCAATATTGTTCATGTCAAAAAATATATATCGATGTCAAAGTTTCAAATAACTTAAAGTAATTTAAGTGTTTTTTTTTAGGAACCCTACTCCGGAATCTAGTGGTAGTCATGGTGACGTAGAATGGAAAAAGTTCTCTTTGGAAGAACAACAGTATTTGGATATTGGAAATGAGGTGAAAATGAAAAAGAGACTTTATAAGAACAGATTTGATGAATGGGAAAAGTTATTTCCCATACAAAAGTGACCATGACCAGAATATTTTTTCCTTCAATCCTGACTTTTCTGCTATTGAATCAACTGATAAAAATTATAAGAAATTTGTTTACTTCTGAAATGTTGTTTTCATAAGGGCAATCTAAATCACATTTGTTCAATAAATGGATAACAAATTATATGATCGAAGAGAATAAAATCTGAGCTTGTAGGCTATGGTCAAATGAAACTTGTAGTACAAAACGTTTCGTCTACAATTGCGGCAGACATCATCAATAGTAAGTGCGTCGACTTCGAAATATAACCTTTGTCCCCGCAGTCAAGTCACATACTACTGATGATGTCTGTCGTAGTAGCAGAAGAAACGTTTAGTATCCTGTATATCAGTAATAATTATCGAAACATAGCTTTTATCAGTCTCTACAACTTTTTCTGAAACATTTTTGTGTATCTGTATTAGAAAAGCGACTATCGTCCACCCATCTGTCATTGATGCACACTGTATATTTTTCAGAACTAGCTCATATCAATTCTGATATGTGATTTATTTTCAGGAAGTTATGTTATTATTTAACTGACAGATTAGAAAAAAATAGCAAGACCTACAAAATTTTCAATAGTCTGAAGCAAAATTTTGTATTCATCAAGATCTTTCAATATTTTCCCTCCACATAAGGTCAAAGAATATTTTTTTACATGATTCGCGAATTTTATCAACACTTTCAGAGGGATAAATTAAATTACCCTTGTCCTCAACCCATATTGAAGCATAGAGTTGGTTTCATTAGAAATCAAGCTGATATGTGGTTTGTCCCTGGGAAGTTATCCAATTGAACCTGCAAATTAGAAAAAATTCTTTTATAGTAATTTCAGAATCATACCGAATTGGCTTTGGCCAATTCGAAAATTGATAAGGATCAATTTCGTATCTGTATGAATAGTTTTGGAAATACCACATTATATCCGACATTTAGAACTTAAAAAGAGCTTTTGCCAGGTTATCTTTCACATATGGAAATATGTCATTTCGGAGAACAGTACAACAATTGAGAATTGTTCTATTCTATCTCAGAGTTCAGGAAGCGTTTTCAATGAAAGCTCCTCGAATAGCACCAACTTCACTACTTCTCACGAACAACTTCGTCATATTTCAACCTAATAAAAAAAAACTGGTAAATAATATATCAACATTCCTGTTGAATCACTACGTTTATTGATGAAAACCATATGACCGTAGTTTTTGGGTTTGAATTGCAAGTCCGTTTATATAAAACATTATATAACAGCTCGACAGAAATATCTATTGTTTTTTTTAAACAGTTATTTTGTTAATGAAAAAAATTCCTAATGAATTTAGTCATTAGAGTAACTCACCCAATCAGTTCAGAATACCATTTTGGTATTCGTGAAGTACTCATTTGAGAAAGATTGTAACGAGATATAATTCATCAAGTCATAACCATTATCGTTGAAAGAAGTCATTTTTTAATAATGACACTATAGAAAAAATATAAAAATGACCCTAACACGAACTTATAGATACGTTTCACAAATTAATCGAGTACAGGTAGATTCATCAGTCAAATTCAACAAGTAAATTCAATAGGTAATTATTCTAGTATTTGAAAGGCTGAAGGTAATACTTTCATCATTCTGAATGTGCCTTCATTTGGGTGATAGTAGATAATCTATTATCTATTTCATTGACATTATTACTATCCAGAGTAATGTTTCGATTCGAATAAAAATGTTTCATTATATCTATTACAGAAGTAATAATGTCGTATACATTATTTTTAGTGGAAATAGCGACTCTATAGTTCCATCCTGGAGTTTTTCATAGGTATGTTTCAAATTGGTTTTTGGCTAGAGGTTTTGAACACAGGAGGATTTGAAACCTATGAATATCAGCGATATAACTTTCCCTGGAAATTGCACACAACAATGAAGTGAATGATGCTACACCGTGATATATAGCTAAGCACAGAAGTTACAGAGATGCCGTTACATGCATGGATCTCATATTGTGGCGAGTGAAAAAAAAATGTCTCTGAGGCTGAACATCCTCACAGCATTTACCATTTACTGCATATCAAACCATCACTGAAGTGTTACTTCATGCGCCATTGTATTTAAAAACGAAAAAGGGCTTCCTTATCGTAAGTCACCATAAGAATCAACATGCATGGATCTCATATTGTGGCGAGTGAAAAATAATGTCTCTGAGGCTGAACATTCTTATAGCATTTATCATTTACTGCATACCAAATCATCATTAAAGTGTTACTTCATGCGCCTTTGTATTTGAATACAAAAAAGGGCTTCCTTATCGTGAGTCACAGTAAGAATCAACATCAATGATGCTAGACCGTGATATATAGCCAAGCATAGAAGTTACGAAGATGCCGCTACATGTATGGATCTCATATTGTAAAAAAAATGTCTCTGAGGCTGAACATTCTCACAGCATTCACCATTTACTGCATATCAAACCACCACCAAAGTGTTACTTCATGCGCCCTTGTATTTGAATACAAAAAAGGGCTTCCTTATCGTAAGTTATCGTAGGAATCAACATCAATGATGCTACACCGTGATATATAGTCAAGCACAAATTTTACGAAGATGCCGCTACATGCATGGATCTCATATTGTGGCGAGTGAAAAAAAATGTCTCTGAGGCTGAACATTCTCACAGCATTTACCATTTACTGCATATCAACCCATCACTGAAGTGTTACTTCATGCGCCATTGTATTTGAAAACGAAAAAGGGCTTTCTTATCGTAAGTCACCATAAGAATCAACATGCATGGATCTCATATTGTGGCGAGTGAAAAAAAATATCTCTGAGGCTGAACATTCTCACAACATTTATCATTTACTGCATATCAAACCATCATTAAAGTGTTACTTCATGCGCCTTTGTATTTGAATACGAAAAAGGGCTTCCTTATCGTGAGTTACCGTAGCAATCAACATCAATGCACCTTTAAGATCGAAGGAAAAACACGCAAGATATTTATTTTTTGAAAGTGAAAACTGGATGTCAGTGGCTTTTTGGGTAAGAGCATCAATGGTACTGAACGTTTGGAAATAAACATCAATGTTCAATCATTCCAATCTACCTTTTATCATTCTTCCGAATGTTTCAGTATTTGTTGATAACAGTGAGATAGGACGATATGAATGGGATCCTCCTCATTTTTATGGAGTTTAAGAATTATGCAAATGATAATTTCTCTCAACTTCTCAACATATTTACCTCTCAACCACCAATCATTGAATATATTCAGAATATATATTTCCTAACTTCGTCCGTCATATATTTGATACATAATATAATATAAGCTGTGCTGCATGTTACGTTAAGAGCCTTGTTAAGTTCTTCTAGTGTTTATTGTTGTGAATTACGGTACTTGTTTCAGAGGTTTTGTCGTTGTTAAAATCTGTTTATCTATCTATCGCAGAGTGTGGCACCCAAATCACCCTACTTACTTGACGCAGCTAGATGCATCAATGTGGCGTATTCTTTTCAATTTCAATGAAATTGCTACTATTCAGAGTAATGTTTCAATTCGAATAAGAAATGTACCACGATATGTCTGTATCTGTAGAGTAGGGAGGGTGAGTGTAGACCCACAGCACTTAGGCCACATGTGACCCCTTGAACATCCTCCCGAGGAGTTCTCCCCCTAGTTCATCGTCCATCCTATCCTTTCCAGGAAGGTGGACAGGTCACTAGGAGGCATCTCCTTTATATTGGCAGGTGTAGGCCAAAGCTCGCCGAATACACACTCTTTGGCAACCTTGAGGTGTCTTACGGTGGCCTCCGCGAAGATTTTGGAAGGTGCAGCGACATTGCGTTACATGCCTCCTTCAACCTTTTTGGGGTTCCCTCCGTGAAGGTGCACAAGTGAGGGAGCTTTCCTGCAGGAGCAGCTGGTTCCTTGCCTTTATTCAAGGCAGAGCTCTTTGCGACCGCTGCAGGAAGTGCCCTTGCTGTGGGGGAGGAGGATTGTGCACTTATAGTTGCTGCCACTCCTGCCTCCTTCGCTCTCTTTCTCCTTTTGGCCTCGGCGCCGAAAATGCGCTTACGTCTTGGCCTCTCTATTACATCACGAGGTGATTTGCTATGTCCAGCCTCATTCAAAGCGGTAGATTGGGGTGGACATTTCAGTTCATCCTCAGCCACCGCCTTAGATTGAGGTGAGCAATTCTGTCCAGCCTCGGGATTGGTTTTTGTTTTCGTTGTTTCTGTTTTTGTATTTGTTTCATTCATGTGTGTTCCCACGAGTAGCAAGGAAAGAGTTGGTCACCTCTGGCAGAGCCCCGCCTTACCAGAGGTAGGCTAATTACAATGAGGTTTCGCCCAGTTCCCCAAGGGGATCGTTCGTAACCGCATATCACCCTGCGGCCATTCAGCTGTCGGCACGATTCCTTACACCTTAGCTTGGGTAGGCTGGTCCACGGTGGCATGTTTTGCAAATGCTTTTGAAGAGTTTTAGTTCCCCTCACCCTACTTATTTCTGCCACTGACCAGGAGTCCGGCAACCCTGTCCTTAAGACCACATTAGCCGGAAGGGGCCTCCAGTCCCCTGGCCGTTCCCCTATACGCCCCCTGACGACGCTCCCGATAGTTAGTCTAACTCACGAGAATGTGTCACAATATCAATGAGTTTCGATTAGGATATTGCGATTTCTGAATGTCACATATGAGACGTTGTTATTCAAGGTGCAGTTTGAATGGAAAGATTGTTGTTCTATTATCGTGAGGTAACGCAAATTCACCAATACACGAAGAACTTTGGAAAGCAACTGAGTATGAAGGTGGTTTTTAAAACAAGTCATATATTACAGAGCGTTTTAGGAAATCCAAAAGACAAGAGTAGAAAATTCGAAAAAGTCGGGAATTTACGAAATCAAATGTAAGGATTACGATGCAAAATATCATGGACGGACAAAAAGATGTATTAGAATAAGGTATAAGGGACACTTAGTACACCTAAAATATGGAAAGCCTGAAAAATCAGCAGTCGCCCATCATATTTTGCAACAAAACCATTCCACAGACTTCAGTTCATTAAGATTAGACATCTAGATGACTATGAGAGTGTAGAAATGAGTAAACATAATAATTAATACCTAATACCAATACCTAATATTAGGTATATTAAACAGTT